AGATTGATCTTTTCCATAGCATCATTTATACATTAAAAGGGTGAGGGAGCAGTATTCAACCAAGGTAGGAGCAGTATTTTTGAACATATGACTGGAGCCTGGAGGCAAAAGAAAAATCAAACAAAGTGTTTATTATTTTCTCTGGTTTCATATAATCAACTAATTACAAGCCATTATTCTAAACTGTGATTAATGTGAAGAGACTTAACCACAATTCAACTTTCTTTTAACCACAATCTTAGTGCTAAAATTGACACAAATATCCTGTTAATCTAACTTTGGTACTGCTTAATACAACTTTCTCCAAGCAGGCTTCTCATCCAATATGTGGATTTCAATTTCCAGAATTTCCCAAGCGAGGATGACCATTTCTGAGAATTCTGGGACTTTGCTCACCCATATGGAGATGCCTAAGATGGGAAAAGCCAGTTCATCTATTGTAGGTTATATGATTAAAACAGCATAGTTTATGTAAATACTTTCTCTCTTTGGTCTGCCTTTTCTTGTCCCATTACTAATATTTAGTTGCTGCTTGAATATGCATGCTTCCCCTTCTCGGTTTACCGAGTCAGAAAAAGGACACCTCTCACACAATAAGTGGTAGTGTCAATTTGACAAGGACAAAGAGAAACAGTCAAGTTGCAGATGAACAATTTATACTACTGGATAATATTAAGTCTATTATTGTTTGATTAGTTAAAGAAGGATTCTTCTGATTGTTGTATATTGGCCACAATATTTTATCTTCTCTAGAAGCCACATTTATTAATGTCTTCCTCTAGTTTGGTATAAGACCATAAAAACAATCTTAAACAAATCCATTGTTAAACCAAATTAAGGAGGAATTTCATGACAGTGAAGAACAATTAACCAGTGGAACAGTTTGTCTCCAAAAGTTGTGGGTGCTCCATCACTGGAAGTTTTCAAGAAGAGATTGGACAACAATTTGTCTGGAATGGTATAAGCTCTTCTGCTCGAGCAGGAGATTGAACTACAGTAGAAGATCTCCAAGATCCCATCCAACTCTGTTATTCTATGTTTTATGTTCCATTGCAATAATTTTTCAAATGCATTTACACTAAAATAAATACAAAAATCAAATATGAACAATTTTGTTCATTCAACAACAACAAAAGAAATCAATAGGGAGTCTAACATGCTTGGTTCTAAACACAGTGAAACTGAAGAGGGTTCAGAGAGGAGCTATCAGGATATAAAAAGCCTAGAAACGAAGCCCTACAAGCAACAATTAAAGGATGTTTTATTGGCCAAATGCAGAAGTGGTTGCCAGTTTTTCCCAAATAGTTTTAACTTTGCAGCCTTGTCTGATTCTCTGAAGTGACCCCATTTAGTTTCCTGAGGTTGGTTGAGGTCAATTCTGTGCTGCCATCTGCGATAGGCTAACTCAACCCTGTCAATACATCATGAGGGAACTTTCTGGATCTTATATATGGCATTGTTTATTGATTTGATTTTGATTTGATTTGATTTGATTTTTATCCTGCCTCAATCTCAGGGATTTACATCATAGTAAAAACCTCTGTGGAATTAAGACAACATACAACCCAGATTGCAGACACAACCAAAGTTGGAGGGAAAAATGGCAATAAGAGGGCAGAAGATGTGTCCTAATTATTGAAGTTAGTTAATTTAGAATATTTTATATTCTAAATTAATGAAATTTTAATTTTTAATTTTAATGTTTTATTAAAATAAAAAATATTTTAATATTTTAATAATTTAGAATATTGCCTGTGTCGTCGCAGCTGATTGCCTAAATCAGCTGTATATTCATCATGGCTGATGGTTGTCAGCACACAGCTGGTCGTGTAATATGACTGGGTGGGAAGGCTTCCCTGACAGGTCTGTTGAGGCTGTTTCCCTGCCAGCTTATTTTGTTGCAAAACAACTATGTTTGTTGAGTAAGAGGAGACAGGAAATGCAATCTTCCTTCAAAGCAAAGGGAGAGAGTTGAAAGCATTGTGTAATTGATGCTGCATCTAATTTACATTCTTAAATACTGTATTCCAAGCTTCTTCTTTTGGAGTTTTAATAGTGGGAATGAAATACATTGTACTGTAAGAGGAGATCTATATTAGTCTACAGGGCTAAAAAATTAAGAGTCCAGCAACAACCTTCCCAAATAACTCATTTAATTAACAGTAATATGTTGTGTGAACTGATGAAATAAGCTGCAGCTCAGAAAAGTTTATGCCTTTTAATAAAATAGGTTAGTTGGAGACTCTTATGAGATTCCTGATTTTTTTTTTATTATGGAAGAACGAACTTAACATTTCATGGTATCCACAACTGTCAAGTGTGTCTCAAATGGCTCAACTAGGCAAATTTTAAACAGTGTGAAAAATGTGAAACACTATCATTAAGTAGCAATTGTTTTTGTAATAAAATGTGAGAAATGAGATCTGAATAGATCCTTGAAGATTTGCTTGGAACCTGTGGATATAAGGAATGCACAAGGATTGCCTAACCTGTTTTGTGGCTGAATCTTGGCTCTGAAAGGAGCTAAACTGGTTTTGTGTCAATCTGAGGAGCAGGGACCAGCCCGGTCCCAAATTCTAGAACATGAATGGGAAGCAACAGTATTTAAAACAATAAAATAAAATAGCAGTGGACATTGTAAATGTCACCCAAATCAAATCAATCAGTTATTAAAATCTTGAGACTTTCTGTATAAGCTAAGAAGGAATTCAATACTTTGACAGAGAAATAGAAGAATTTATCTATGTATTAAATTTATAGTCTACCCATCAAGTGATTCTTATATAAATTATAACATGATTGTAATTTAATAAATTACCATAACTTTCTAGGTGGCTTTCCTAAGAACTTCTCAGACTTTATGTTGATTCTTAGTTAATGAAGTTTTAATTCTTGGAAATATAGGGCGAAATAAAAATTTGTTTAACATGTAAGATGAAAAAAATCCTAATCCAAACCAATGTACAGGGATGTACAACAAGCTCCTTTCTCTCCAAAGGAGCCCAGCGTATGCTTGCAGCAATTAAAGTTTTCTCAGCTAAGATTCGAGCCCAGCTCCCAGCTCAGTTGGGTACTTGTAGGTCAATCTAAATTTCTGAGAACCAGCTTTCAAGCACTTCCCTGTGTTTCAAACACAGTCCATCACCGTGAACCTGGCCTTCTCAAAATTGAAACATCTGCCTGGATTTACATCTACTCCTATCAGGTTAAGATCTTCTTTTTTCTAGCCTCTCCTTTTTCTAGCCTCTCCTCCAAGTTGCTCATGATGTGTGCAGGAGGGCAAAATGTGTGGGTCATAGGGAGGCCCACTCCCTCTCCCCACGAGGAAACCCGGCTTTGTAACCAAAGCATTGTCAGTGATAGGATGGGAGACCACCAGGAGATGTCAGGGGGAGGGGACAAGGGGATGGCAAAAGGGCAGCAGGGCTGCTCATGGCCATATACTAAGGCAATACTTCCCTCAGACCCTTCCTCCCTCTCATTATAACCTTCCTTCCTTCCTTCCTTCCTTCCTTCCTTCCTTCCTTCCTTCCTTCCTTCCTTCCTTCCTTCTCATTCCTTATCCTTCTCATCTCTTTCTTTTCTCCATGCTCAGGAAGGGGTGATGGGAGGGGGAGAGATTGCCAGCGCTGCCGGTGTCCATGCTGCCTCCGGCCGTCGCTATCCACACAGACGGGGCCAGTCCCAGTGAAAGGAAAGCCTCATGGCTGTGAGCCTAGGTCAGCAAGCGGGCCATGGAGGTGCTGGTGGGAGGGAGGATGGCGCTGATCTACAACCTGGTTGTGTCCATCAAAGCCAAAATACTCTCAGCTTTAGATCCATAGGGCAGCCCTGGAACCAGCAAGGAGCTGCCCCACCTCTGCCCCACCTCTGTCCCGCCCCCTGGGTGTGCACACAGGAGACGGTGAGTGCCAGCGTCCTGGGTGAAGTCAGCCTGTGGGGCAAGACAGCCAGCAGGGATGCCAGACTCCACCTGCTCACCACCTCTTGCCCGCATGCCCAGATGGCAGAGCAGGGGTGCCCATCGCTGGTTCCAGGGCTGCCCCGTGGACCTAAGGCTGAGCATGTTCTGGCTTTGATGGCTGGCACCAGATTGTAGATCAGCACCCAATCAGCCTGGGCCGGGTCGAGGTGCCATGGATCGGTCCTTCGCTGTTTCCAGAACAGGTCTGTGGGCCATACGCAACCATATGGTGGGCTGGATCTGGCCCGTGGCCTTATGTTTGACATGTCTGCTCTAACTGATCTTAAATAGCAAGTAATTGATTTAGAGCTGCAAGCTGATTTTTTAGCTCTACCCTGAAACATCTTGAGCCACTCTGTACACCCTCCCTAACCAGCCAGATATTTCAGTTATATAACTTTCCCAAAATTCAGAAGAGCCCTTTCTTCAGCCAGATTCAATATCCTTCCAAGAGCCGTTACTGAAGGAAAATACAAAAAAATTATCTTTGAACAAAGACTGTGCCAATGTGGCAGTGGAATAATTGAATTGATGGAACATACTATGCTCTATTGTCCCCTTGCAGGAGCACACCAAGAGTTATTATTTCCACTGTTTATTAAATACCCTGGTCATTCTGATTTATCTTAAAATGCTAGTTTTAGATCAATCTGATCCATCTCCTTGTCCATAGCCAAGTACTGCTCTGTAATCTGCATTTTGTAGGATTGTGTCAAACCTGCCCTAATCCGAACCCTTAGGAAAGAAAAGCCTTCAACTCTATTTGGTTAAAGCAAAGGGTTCTTTTATTAAGTGTTGGTTGCAGTAAAGTAAAGCCAGATCTGAAATCACCATGCTCACTGGATACAAAAATAAGGTGTAGGTTTACTCACCAGCCCATCCGTCCCCCCACTGATCAGTCAGTTTCCAGCCAACTGGAGCTCGCCAAGATGCTTTGAGAACCCTGAGACATTTGGGAGTAATCTGCATATTTCTCAGTGTGCCTGGCCATGGGATGCTGGTACAAACAGGATCCAGCTGCTCTGGTCCTTCTTACCTGTCATCCCCCACCTCCTGATTTCCTATTACATACATACAAAGCTTTATTGCCCTTTCATCTTTCCCTCTTTCATCCTTCCCCTCTTCTTCTTTTGATGACAGGATGACTGTGAGGCCCCACAAGCTAGCCAGATCTGACATTCTTCCCCCCTCGACAGAGGCATTAGTCCTGCAAAAGAAAAGAGAGAGGGGAAGGAGAGATACACAAAATTTCTCAATTAACAAACAGTTCAGTGTGGTTTATCTGGGTATCAGTCATGGAATTTTTTAAGCAGTTTGGGGGCTTTAATATGTTGTGAGTTGACCCATTCAGTTTCTGAGGGGGAGGGAATCTTTCCAAGCTACCAAATACCATTTTTCCCCCAATGTATGCAAGGGTTCAAAATGTCTTTGACTTCAAAGTGCTGCTCTCCCTTGATCATAATGCGGTCAGGAGGTGGTTGTGATTTGGGATGCAGGGAAGATGGGATTTCAGGTTTCAGTAGGCTACAATGAAATACCAGGTGTACCCTTCTGAGTGTTTTTGGCAACTCAAGTTCTACAGTTAATGGGTTAATAAATCTCTTGATGGGGAAAGATCCAATGTATTTTAGCCCCAATTTCTTTGATGGTTGGCCAGATTGTAGGAATTTGGTAGAGAGATAGACCTTGTCTCCCACCTTACAGTCCTTTGACTTGATGCACTTTTTATCATTCTGTATTTTGTATGCTTACCTAGCTTCATCCAAAGCTTTTCTCACCACTGGCCAGGTGTTCTGTAACTGGGCAACCCAGTCTTTCAGCCATGCAGTCATAGGTGGTCGCCTGAGGTAATTCAGGGATAGATTCAAAATTTTGTCCTGTGGCCACTTTAAATAGAGTGAGCCCAGTGCTACAGTGCACTGAGTTATTATAGGCAACCTCTGCAAAAGGGAGGAGGTCTGTCCAATTGTCCTGTTGGTAATTAATATAGCATCTGAGGTATTGGTCTAGGTCAGTGATGGCGAACCTTTTAGAGACCGAGTGCCCAAACTGCAACCCAAAACCCACTTATGAATCGTCGGGTGCTGGGTGGGTGTGGCCCATTGAGTGGGTGTGGCTACGGTGGTAACAGCAGACTGGGTAGGACTAAAAAGTTCAATCAATCAATTCCAACTTTGCAAGATCTTTTTTTTTCCTGCGAGAAGTTGAAATTGACTGATTGAACCTTTTCTTTTTGTACACGGCAGCGGAGGCTTAAAGCGAAAAGGTTTTATAAAACCCAGCTGAAGGCCTAGGACTGGGGCGATGGTGCGCATGCCCACAGAGAGGGCTCTGAGTGCCGCCTCTGGCACCCGTGCCATAGGTTCGCCACCACTGGTCTAGGTCCTAGGATGCCAATGGCTCATTCACACACCTCTTTAGTAGCCAGATGATCAAGGAGCTGAGCCCCTGAGTGGAATTCCTGCCAAAGCCACGAAGTAAATTGGACTCCACGATCTAAGATTATTCTTTCTGGAGCACCATGCAAATGTTAGATGAATAGTTTAGCCTGTTTGGGGGGGCGCGTTTTAAGGCTTCTAAATGTTTACGGTAAGTCCATACTTGAAAAGGGGTTTTCCCTCCTTCTAGGAAATGCCTCCAAGTTCGGAGTGCCCAGTACACTCTATAGGCTTCTTTCTCCCAGACTGCCCATCTCATTTAGCTTTTTAGAAGTGTAGGCGCAGGGCTGCAGGACCGCTTGCTTGTTTTCCTGTAAAAGAACTGGGCCCACTATGACATCACTGGCATTAGCCTGAATGACGAAAGGGCATTGGGGTTAGGGTGTTTCAGCACCGGCTCCACTGCGAACAAGCACTTAAACTTTTTGAATGCAGCCTAGCATTCCATAGTCCATTTAAGTGGCTGGGTGGGTTTGGGTTTCCCCTCCCCTTTTATCTTAAGCAGGTTGGTGATGGGGAGGGTTATCTGGGCAAATGAGGGGATGAACTGGCAATAAAAGTTTGCAAATCTCGGGAAGCTTTGTAGTTGCTTCTGGGTGTGGGGAGGAGCCCATTCTAGCGCTGCCTGCACCTTTTGAGGGTCCATCTCTATCCCCTCATGGGAGATGCGGTAGCCTGGATAGTCAATTTGGACAGCTTGGCATGGAATTGGCATTTGGACAGCTTGGCATGTAGTTTGGCTACTTGAAGCTTCTTGAGCACAGCTCTGACTAGTTTTACGTGTTCTGTCATTGTCTCAGTATAGATTAAAATGTCACCCAGGTAAGCTAACAAGTGTTCATGCAGCACTTTGTTTATTAGCTGCATAAACACAGCAGGGGCCCCTTGCAGTCCAAAAGGGAGGACCCAGAACTGGAAGCATCCCAAGGGGCAATTGACAGCCATTTTCCACTCATCCCCTGCTTTGGTCCTCACTCGGTAGTATGCCTCCCTCAAATCCAGCTTGGTAAAGACTTTTTCTCTGGCCAAATGGGCCAGCATGTCACACAGAGAGAGTTACGCCCATGATAGTCAATGCATAGACAAATGGACCCGTTCTTCTCCCTAAACAGTACCAGGGCAGCCACCCTTGGTCTGATGGGTTGGATGAATCCACGCTTCAGGTTTTTGTCCATAGAAGTCTGCAATTCCTCCAATTTCCTAGATTTGGGTAGTTTGGCCCCGGGTAGGATTTCTATGGAACAGTCAGTTGGCCAGTGGAGTGAGAGCGCATCTGACCCCATCTCATTGAAGACATCCTCTAAGTCCCAGTACTCTTTGGGAATCCAAGGGTCACCCCAGGACCGATCTTTGGGGCTACTCCCACCTCCCTTTTTGATTTCACCTGCTGCAACTTTGGGGTAGGTTTTTTGACAGCCCTTCTTCCCTCCTCCTTCACAGTCGGCTCACTGAATTTTTAGCAGCCCCCTCCTCCTGTTCACATAGGGGTTCCATTTCTGGAGCCAAGTCTAACACAAGGGGCCTTTCCAGGGGTTACGATGAAGTTCAGGGTTTCTGTGTGTGCGCCCATTCTCATCTCTATTGGGGTGACAATAGAGCCCTGCTCTCCATGGTGCACTACAGCTGATCTGAGGCATGGAGAGCATGGCTGATGGGTGAGCTTATAGCAGGCGCACACACAGACTCCACTCTTTTCAGCAGCCCTTCCTACTGCTGGGGTTGCCAATTGCCTTGTTCCTCATGCATGCCTGCTACATGCTCACCTGTCATCCATGCTCTCCATGCCTCAGATCAGCTGTAGTGCACTGTGGAGAGCAGGGCTGACTCGGGCAAGGCAGCCGCACACACAGACTCCGCTCTTTTCAGCAGCCCTTCTTGCCACAGGGCTACCACTTGCTTCCTCCTTCGCCAACCTCTCATGCACAGAGAATCTGCACCACCTGCCTCCCCCCTGTGCCTTTACTAAATTGATCACCCAGCTAGAAATGAGGTTTAGCAGGATGAGCGCGCAGGCAGAGGCACAGGGGGAGGTGGGTGGTGCAGATTCCCTGTGCATGAGACCAGGGTTTTTTCCCCACTGCCTGATTTTCACTGCCATACTGTTTAAGTTTCTTTAAAGTTTACTTGATGCAGAACGGGAAGGATCTGCATTCTGCATTAAGAAACCTTTAAAGAAACTTAAACAGTATGGCAGCAAAAATCCAGCAGCACTGGATGATGATCATTGCTTAGTCAGGCAGATATACAGACTGGGATTGGCATTTTTGTCTACCTATTGTGTCCCCTGGGATAGGCAGATCTAAATGTTTGATGGTGTTACAGATATCATCGCAGGATGGAAACTCTATTTTATGGTCCCACCAATTCTTGCTTACAGGCAAATCATCTTTCTTGCAGATCTTCCAATGCACCATTGTTGCTATTTTTGTCATGCCATTCTTTGTAGTCAGTCTGGGTGACCTTGCAGCAGCTTATCAGGTGATTCACTGTTTCTTCCGCTTCTTTGCATAGGTGGCACTTACTGTCTGTTGCTGTCTTCTCAATTCTGGCTTTGTATGTATTTGTCCTTAAGGCTTGGTCTTGTGCAGCCAGAATTAGTTCCTCGGTCTCGTTCTTCAACTTTCCTGCTCTTAGCCATTGCCAGGTCTTGTTGTTATCTGCTTTTCCTGCTATTTATTTTAATGTACTAGCCATGTGGTGCTTTGTCTTTCCATGACTCCATTTGTTTTTCATTTGGTCTTTCTTGTAGGCCAATTTTTATTATTATTATTATTATTATTATTATTATTATTATTATTATTATTATTATTATTATTATTATTATTATTATTGATGATGATGATGATGATGATGATGATGATGATGATGATGATGATGATGATCATTGCACAGTCAGCCAGACTGGGATTGGCGTTTTTGTCTACCTATCCTTACCAAGGACCTGGGATAGGCAGATGTGAATGTTTGGTGGTATTATAGATATCGTCGCAGGATGGAAGCTGTTCCCAGGAAAGCCACCTTTTGCAATGGACTGATGGTGAATTTGTCAATGCCAATGGTGTTCAAGCTGTGCTCCAGTTGTTTTGGGAATGCACCCAAGGCACCTATTACTATTGCTACTACCTTGTTGCCTTTGCCACAGTCATTCTATTTCTATTTGTAGGTTTTGTTTTGTAGGTTTTGTTATCTTCTCCACTTCTTTCTCTTCTAGTCTATATCCAGATTTTTTTGTCTTTCTTATCAACAATTGTTAAGTCCGGGGTGTTATGTGGCAGGTGTCTGTCTAAACTTCCATGTATCTAGGCAACCCTTTGGCTATTGCTCCAAAGACTACTATTACTATCGGTACAATTATTGATTTTTTCCCTCTACAATTGCTCAACTTCAATTAGCAGATTGTGGTATTTCGTTATTTTTTCTAGTTGCTTCTCTTCCATTTGTGCATCACCTGATATTGCAATATCAATGAACCAGACTTTTTTTCTTTTCCACAATAATGATATCAGGCATGTTGTGGGCCAGATGACTGTTTGAAATTCCCACAAGATCTTTACCTGTTCATTTTCAAGAACTTTGTCAATTTGGTGTTCCCAGCAATTTTTGCTGCATTCAAACCCAAACTTCTGGCAAAGTTTCCAATGTATGATTTTGGCAGCTCAATCATGATGTTGTCCCTAATCAGTTTGTGAGATTTTGCTGCAGCCACTGATAAGGTGATCCATAGTTTCATCTTTCTCATTGCATAAGCGACATTTGCTGTTGTTACTGTCATGTTGAATTATTGCTTTCATGGAATTGATCTGCTACTATTATTATTATTATTATTATTATTATTATTATTATTATTACTATTATTATTATTATTATTATTATTATTATTACTGATCATCGCACAGTCAGCCAGATGTTCAGACTGGATTTGGCATTTTGTCTACCTATCGAGTCCTTACCAAGGACCTGGGATAGGCAGATATGGATGTTTGATGGTATTACAGATATCGTTGCAGGATGGAAGCAGTTCCTAGTAAGGCCGCCTTTTGCAATTGACTAATGGCGAATTTGTCAATGCCAGTGGTGTTCAAGTGGTGCTCCAGTTGTTTTGGGATTGCACCCAAGGTGCCTATTACTATTGGTACTACCCTTGCTTGCCTTTGCCACAGTCTTTCTGTTTCTATTTGTAGGTCTTTGTATTTTGTTATCTTCTCCAGTTCTTTCTCGTCTATTCTGCTGTCTCCAGACACTGCCACGTCCACTATGCAGACTTTTTTGTCTTTCTTATCGACAATTGTTAAGTCCGGAGTGTTATGTTGCAGGTGCTTGTCTGTTTGAATTCTGAAGTCCCAGAGCAGTTTAATTTTATCATTTTCTATGACTTTCTCTATTTTATGATACCA